CCTAAGATTAATTGGAAGTGGCAGAAGCGAGCAAGCTCAAGCACTCCGCCAACTTCCTAAAAAGTTGACTTCTTCGACTTTAACGCAGCGAAGAAGTGCTCTTATTATTATAGTAATAAATGCGTTCTCTTATATCTATATTTTTACAATCCAATTGAGAATTATACAGCGTCTACAAATTCATAAACAAGAAATGTGTCAAAAGAACTTTTAGTATAAAAAGCTGTAATAAAATTTGCGTTTAGAACATGTATGCAAGACAGAGACGAAATTATTATACAAAACTTTTATACAGCAAACGCCTATATAAAACAGAGATGGAATTATTGCACTAAATAATAGTCGCATTTAATAATGTAAACAAAGAGAACTTTTCTACAAAAGCTGTATTTAGAGCAAGTATGCAGAACAGAGACGAAATTATTATACAAAACTTTTATACAGCAAACGCCTATATAAAACAGAGACGGAATTATTGCACTAAATAATAGTCGCATTTAATAATGTAAACAAAAGATATTTGTAAACAAAGAGAACTTTTCTACAAAAGCTGTAATAGAATTTGCTTACGCAATATGTATGCAGAATACCTTTATATGTACAAAATTTGTCAATACCCAAATAGTAATAATGAACACCTAACATGGCTTCTGGTACTAAATATAAATGACGACATAATGCTGTTAAACCAAGTCTTAACTCTCACGCAATTGCAAATGGTGGTTGTCAATATTTCATCAATTTCAAACAAATTCGAAATTCCATTTTATCATTTATCATCTTGCAAGGGGATTGCTTAGAAGCTTCTTTGCTGCAGTTTTTCAGCACTGCACATTCTTCGCAACGAAAATTCAAAGCATTTTTTACACTTTTCACTAACAAAATTTCATTATCTTAAAATAAAATTCATATTTTCGCATAAAACACAAAAAAATTTATTCGCGACAGACGCATACTTTATCAAATGATGCTAAAAAAAGACAGTGTTGCTAACTAAACTATTACTATTAACTGAATAAGCGATTTATTTTCTAATTGATTAATTAATTTTAAAATAATTTTACAATATCTTCACAATGAGGAAAACATAACATCCCCTAAGTTTTTTAATTCTTTTTTTATTTTATTCTTGACACTTTGTCTGCTGCTTGGAATGTAAAAATGGGTGCAGATATATGATTTTGGTCTGGTGGAACAGTGGAATAGAGTTCTTAACTCTTACTAGCAAATATAACAATCTTTTTTTAGGTTGTAATTATCGGTTTTATTGTATTCCCTTCCCAACTCAATGAATCAAAAATGTTATAAATACAACGAAAATTATTAAGCTTTTTCGTTTTAAAATGTGTTTTGCTACATCAATTAACCAAAAACCGTAAAGAAAAAAAAGAGTTGCGAATTTCATACCGCATAATTTTATTAAAAGAGAGCGTTTCCCTTAGGAACAGGGCAACAAAAAGCTTTAATATTTTATGATGCCATCTATGCCATCTATTAGTTGAAAGAATATCACCTAAGGAAACTTTCTTAATCCCAAAAACGGGTATTCCTGAGCTATCATTTCTCCAAATGCCAAAAAGATATGACAGCTGATGTGGAACAAATGTCAAATCAACAAACGGAGAAAAACACCCAGATTTTCGTTCAATGAATAGGCAAAAGCAAACGTTTTAAAATTAAATAAAATACTTTATAATAAATAGAAAATTTTAACGGGCACTTTAACTTAATCACAGCAAAAGCGAGAAAAAGGTTTGTAATAAAATTTGCATTGGTTGCTCTTGTGTGGAAATACTATTCAAGCCAAGCCAGGAAATTGTCAAAAGAAAAATCAAGAAACTTTGATCGAAAAAACAAGCGAATTTCTACATGCTCTCGATGATTAATTGTAGAAACCAAGAATGAGTGTCAAGACTACATCTAAACCTGTACCTAAAAAATCGTAAAATATTTCCTTTTGGATTTCTAACAAATGCTTATTCTAAGCGATATCCATTTATTTTACCTTTCCTTTGAATTAAGCTTACCACCCCGTTCTAAAATGGCGCAGAATACCGCTACGGGTACTGGTACACCATCAAATTTGCAGACTGGCTTCAATAAAGTTTTCATACAAAGAGACTATAGTGAAGGAACCGCAGTTAAATTTCATACTAGACTTCCAAGCGAGTTGGAAGGTTTGGTAAGTGGATAAGCATTCGATTGTGCAAAAATATGAATCGAAAACTTTTGCTTGCAGATAGAGCGTCATGCCTTCGAATCGACGATCACTAGACTCAATGAATTCTTTGCTGAAGCTGAAAAAGGCTCTTGCAGTACTTATTGTGAAGGCTGCATTGGTTGTATAACTGCCTATCTTGTCTACATGTGCTCCGAAACGCATTACGAGAAAGTAAATTCCCGCAAGTTATCAATCAATTTGCAACGCTTAATTAATTAAGACTTTCTTCTCATTTCCCAGACTCTACGTAAAATTTCCAAGTTTATTGCTTCCCAAAATGAACGTATTTACAATCCGAAAGGTTTGCAAATGATCGATCCCACCTATCGAGGCTTGCGAGTTATAGAAATATCCATTCTTGATCGTCCCGGACGAACGTGACTTCCACTTTCTCACTCAACCGAAGAGTTCTTTATGTAATAACTTTAGTTCTTTATAATGACAGATAAAAAGTTGCAGCTAAATCCATAGTAAACAATTGGAGCGAGTCCTTAAAATTTCTTCGTGCCGAAAAGGAAGGCTCGAAGCTTTCTACATTTTTTAAATCCAATGTATACGCGCCTAGGACTCACACTATCTGTCTTTTTTCACAAATAAGAAAATCATGTCTTAACAAAGAAACTGAAAAGTTGTATCTTTGGAAACAGCGGTTAGCTGTTAGCAGTTTATTTAAGCAATGAATAAAAACAGATAAACAGATGTAAGAGAATACATTCAACCTGCATTTCGTCAACCTACACACTTGTAGCTTGCTTGCCGTGTAGCTAAACAGGAAATTATATTAATCTAAAAGTGTGTAGAATAGTTAAAAATACAAATGAACAAAATACAACCAAATACTCCCCTCAAGAAAACACAAAAACACGACACATTTGTACACAAGTCTACCCTCTTATTCATAATCGAAGCACTTGTAGGTTAGGCTAGAATATATGTAAAACCATCTATTTGTAATGAATATATACGCTGTCTTAGTCTATAGTTCAATCAATATATTCTACCAAATTTTTACTAAACAATTGTTAAATGAAAATATTTATGCAATATGAGAACAAATGATGAAATTGTTTCGTGTTATATGTATATAAGAATATATATATAAATGAATTTATCGATTGAAAGTATATATATTAAATAAAGAAGAACATTATTCAGTGAAATTTAAAACTCCTTGGGTTCAGTTAGTCTAACTTTCAAAACATATCGAAAAATTAATGTTTACTTCCGTAAAAATGAAATCATATTACGGGTTATCTATTGTAATTACTCACTGAAGGACTTACCAGATTTTATTCATCCCAGCAAAAAAAAAAAAACGGTGGGCAGGAGACGGTCACATCCATCTAGGAGATATCGTGCATAAAGTAACAAGGAAATCAAGGGAATTGACGCAAGGGCGTCTTTTAACAAATCTTCGCTTTTTGCTTTTCCAAGTTATTAAAGACCAAGTCTTGTTGTTTCTTGTGTATAATAACTTAATCAGCGCAAGTTATGAGTCGATCTAACTTCTTCTTTAGCTTGTCTTCTGCCTAACACGTTGCCAGAAAGAATTTGGGGTAAAACTTGGAAATTTGACGTGTATACTACGAATTGACGGCCACATGTCAAATTTGGAAATTGCCCAACGCACGGTTACGCTTAAAATCGGGAAAAGATTAAAATTCACCACTCATGGTAGATAAGTGTGAAAACTTCAATAAAAATATTTACGAAGACTATCTCTTAGCAGTTGTCTTAATGGAAAAACAAATAATTTTTTTGGCGCAAAAATGCGTCCCGATCGATCAATTGATAGGCCCGTGTTGCAAGTCCAATGTATTAATTTGATATGATTGGAATGAGAGATGATCTATCTTTAAGGTGAGCATATATATATATATATATACTTTTTTTTATAATAATAAGTTTATTTACTTTTCGACAATTTTTTCTTTGGTATAGAGTTAAAAACATATATAAATTAAAGGATCTAGGAGAGTCTTATATTAAGGAAATAAATTGGAATTCTTACAAAAAATGGTATATGATTGGATATTAAAATTGAAAAAAAATTTGTATTAAATAATACTGCTATTACGAACATATATTAAACGTACATGCACACATATATGTTGAGGCGTTGAATTTTATAAATTAAAAGAACCTACAACGGATCTACACTTTTTCCTAAATTTTGATAAAATCTTGATTGGCTAGGAATCATTAAAAATTTCTTTATATGGAAAGTATCCCGTTAGGATTTGTAACTCTCTCTCTTTGCATCATTGCGTCAAATTATTTCTTACATATATATTAATTATATTTTTTTTAAATTAATTTAAAAAACATAAATTGACCGCTATATCTTTGTTATTAAATTCTACCTTAAGTGAAGGCTAAAGCCGTGGATATTAAAATATCATAATATTGCTGTAAAGAGTTTTTGATTCGAACAATCACTTGAGTACACACGAGAACGCACATTCATAACTAATTAAATACTAAAAAAAAACATTTAAGTTTTTATTTTTTATTTTTCTTTTTTTGTTTTAATATCATCGCGATATATTATATATTATTTATATCTTGCTTTCTATTAAATTCCTCGTTTCGAAAATCATCGTTTGACTAGATTTGTTTCTCTTAAAATTTTTGGTTTAATGTTTATTGTTATTTATGCAGATATACATAAATACTGACAAACGTCTAGGTCTGCAATATATATATATTTTTTTAGATAATTTTGAGACCTTGTGTTTTTGTTTACAAATAGATCACAATATTTGACTTTGATTTAATTTTATAGGACACGCGAACACACTTATATTAACAATATTAATATTTTTGTGCTTCTCTTGTTTTTGAATATTTTGCATGCGATAGAAAATACTTTTGAGATCCAGTTAGCATCTGTAGTAATCTGTAAGTCTTTATCACCGTGTTAATGATAATTAATTTATTAGATCCTAACTGGAGGGTTTTCGTCACAATAACGCACACAATTTGGAAAGTTTCTTATTCTTCTCTGTAGTTGTCGATGCTGTCGTGCCCGAAGAAGATACCGACGAAGATGTCGACATGCTACTTTGTAACGTGCTGCCCGTTGGTGGTTGTAAAGGAGTTGTTGGACTTTTCTCATCCGAATCTTCGCTTACATGAGTTTCAAGTAGTTTCAGTGTCGTCTTCGGTTTAACATTTCCGTCCATACTAGTGTATAACGTCTTCGTAAGTTTTGATTTGACTGCTTTACCTATAGCCCCCGTTTTTTTAATGCTTAAACGAGAAATACTGCGTTGATGCTCAGGCGTTGAGCTTTCATCGCCATGTTGCTGCTGCTGCTGTTGTTGTTGTTGTTGTTGCTGATTGCAATTCAGTGTTGTTACAGTGAATTCAATATCTTTGATGTCTTCATCGGAGCATGCTTATCGAAAAGGCAAGCAAAAAATTATATTCAGCTTAGATTGAATTACATTTATTACCCTGCAGTTATATAGGACTTATGAAAAATCACCTAAAGGATACAATCCTGGTCAACGAGATTGTTTACATCGTTTTGTTAATCAAAATTGAGTACAGCTTGTTGAAGTCAAAAGTTTTGCGTAGGAGAACAATATTTTTGTCAACTAATTTATTATCATTCCTAAGTCTAACTTCAGAAGTCAATTAAATCGATCCGCCATAATTAGGAAAAATGAATTAGGAAAAATGTTTCCGGTTTTGTTTTTCAATTCAACTCTAAGGTCGTCAATTTACATACAACATACGCAACATAAGAGAGGCAAATTTTTCTGCTTTGCTGTAGTTACACACTGTATTGATAGTGGGTATCGAAAATGACCACCCAAGTTTATTATGGAGTTTTTTTTTGCTTCAATGTCTATCTATCACCGGAAAATGAGCATACGCCGAATTTATCATTCATTGCCAATAACGTTGTACTCATGTTGTACTTATACTCTTGATCAGTTTGATATTACGCTTGCACCTAATTATATCTTGGGAACAAGTTTAGTTGGCGACCTACTACTACCAATCATAAAATACTCTCCTTCAATTTCAAAGTGCTATGTGAAGTTTTGGGTATATAAGTGCATCAGAGAAATAGAAGATGACATCTACACATAATGAGAGCTAAGACTACTCCTTTTATGTTTCAGAGGCAGTACAAGTTATAAAAGCTGAAAACACTTTTAAGGGGAACGTACCTGCAAACTCTTCGACAGGCTTTTCGATGGTATCGTGGTCAATCCAAGTTAAGCCCATTTCAACTTTTTCTGCCAAATCTTGCCAGTTGTTACGATTTTCCAAAGTGCCGTCGTAAAGTGGCTTTATCCAGGGAAACGTCTCGTACAATACGCGATACAAAGGCAAACAAATGACATCGATAAAGCCAACTTGCATTTTTGGTAATTCATCTTTACGTTCTCTAAACATAAGCAAACACAATTATTATGTCAAACTTATCACAATTGTCTAACGTAACAGAATCGCAAACCTGTCCATCATAGCAACCGGTTGAGTATTTAATTGTAATTTTTCTAAATCGCCTTGATCGAAAAATTCATCGGCCACCAATTTGGCCACACGATGTTGGACTTCCCATGGTTTGGCGATCGCACTCACGTCACAGGCCGTCATCATCATGCCGCATAGCACTAAAATTTGTTATTGCATTTTTATTTTTTATTGCTACATGAGAAAAGTGGAAGGTCCTTCGAATACTTACGCTCTTTTCGATCCTCGCTTTGCCAGTCGAATTCACCATTGTCTACGACCTCTAGGAAAGCGTTACGCTTTTTAAAATAGGCCGCCAGATCGGTAGAGAGTATAGCGTTTTCCACAACTTTCATTATCCTGCGGTAGTCGTCCGGTGACATGGCCTATGTGAAATAGTTTACCTTTTAGTTTTGCACATTTTCATTTCTTTCGTTTTATAATGACACACATACCTGAAATATATTATTACCCTCTGAGTTCAAAATCATAACACACTGATCGAAATGGTGGTGTTCCATAGTTGAAGTTGTATATAGTATAGCTAAAGGTGATTCCGTTTTCGTTTGAAACGCGTTATTAGTTCCGCGATGATCGAGATCGTGACAAAGACAAGCTACTAGTAGACCAAAGATTTCCAAGTCAGTCATGAACCGTTCCATACGACCAGTTTTAAGCATGGCGAACATTGTTTGAGCCACATTTAAAGCATGGCGCCAGTTGTGATATTTAACCGGACGATAATTTTTACGTACACTTAATACCCAACGGCATAGCACGTCGTAGGGTATCTGAAACATTTGCACCAGGTTGCATTGCAGGAACATGCGCACTACAGCGCGACAGGTATCATCGTCCTCTAAATCAAAATCTAGAGAACAAAGCCTTCATTGCAGCTTTATAGCGCATTTATATTAGCATTAATTTATTTTGTTTTTGTTTTTTTTTTTTTTTCATCTCCAAATTTCAATTAGCATAAACTCAAAAACAATTATCAATTTAATTAACAATTTAATTATTCAATGTGAAACAATATGAAAACAAATGAATCGAAACTTCGAAAAGCGTTTATGCGCCTGAAATAAATGCGCAGTCACGTGCAATCCATTAAACTAAATCTTCCGGTGGACAGGAATCTTACTATTATTTGATAGATATGAAGTGGGTGGGAGGTCTATTGGATATATTGTTCTAAATCTACTTATTTATAAGCCAGAATATGCCAGAAGCAGCGATAGGCACCGCGCGAAAAATATACTCTGCCTTGGACAAGTTTAAACATAGAGGTTACATTAAAGTTAAATCTACGCTTCTTAAGAGAGCGCAACTTGACAAGTTAGAACTTTGATTGATTAAGCTGCAGTGGGCTCACATTCAAGAGTATGCAATAGCGCCTGAACAGAGGGGTAATAAAGAGGGAATCAATTTTCTTGAATTAACGTTTCACGATGGAGGTGAAGGTACTTAAAAAAATTTTCATTCTTGCATTTATACTAATTTTAATGAATGATAATAAGTAAAATAATTGAAGAGAAGTCTTATATAAGTCTATGAGTAGTTATACACCAACATCTTCTCTTTACTTGTTTCGATAAAAAGATCTCCTAAAAAATCACTGGTCAGCATGCATACAGACGTGACGAGCTCTCGAGACAGTCTTGACTTTCGTACTTACCTATAAATTTAAAACTGTACAAATTGTACGTTTCGGCTGACCTAATGGTGTCGTTCACTAATTTATCTGTCTGATCTTGGGAAGCGGTTGCGTGATATGACAAACACTCTAGGGCTACTTTCTGTTTGGCCATTAGTTTGCAAGCGTTCTCATACATTTGTGTATTATGTATACCCAGACCACAAAAAATTGCAAACGCCTCAAATATTGAAGCATCCGAATCGGTAAAGGGCGTACCATTGCCCTTATTAATCAATTGAGCGACACCGATGACAGTTTTCTGCGCATTCACAATAGGCATGCAGAGTATGGCCTTAATGCAATCAATCTCATTCTCGGTCCGTATCTGATCATGTTCACGCACCCATTCACGAACATCAGCAATATTCACTGTCTGCCCTGTGCTGGCGACGAACTGAGCAATCTGGGCTAACGTTGAATTGCTGAGATCATCCACTGAAGGTCTAGATATATTGGCCGACTGATTGGCAGCACCCAACTCGAATAGCACCGTGAAGCGGGTATCAGAATTCTGTTCAATTTTCCAATATTATAAAAACTATTGATTTAAACTACGCTTAAGCGCACCGCACTTACCTTGTCGTCGGTACTGCTCTCATTGCCTTTAAAGTATTCGCTATAACGCCTTTGTATCTGATTAGGCTTCTCGATAATCTTCTCCAAGTGGCTCTGGAAAACCAATTTTATAACAATTCTTAACTACTTTTAAAATGTAAATGAATAATGACGGGATGAGTTTAGTGACAATCATCGTACAAATTATAAAGGAGCGACAAAAGCTTTTCTTATGTCTAGATAAGTTTTAATTGCGATCACTTTAAACTCTTTTGGAAATTTTCAGACATATCAGGAAGTCGATCGAAACCATTTTGAAACCAAGCCTTTAAGTGACTTGTGTCGGCCTTTGAGTTTCTTTTTTTTCTGATCAATTAGTGATGGCAAGTTACCAAATACGTAGACTTATTGAACGAAGAGGGGTATCTACTGCAGATATCTGCTCAATTCAAAAAGAATAATGAGATCAATTTTTCATTAATATTATGACATGAGATCTGTATTTTTGTTTCGAAATTTTGTTGAAGGAACTTAAGATTTATCTGCAAAAACACGCTGCGTATCAATCGTGTTGCACATCAATTACTTACCGCTTCGCAACAATCCAAATCGATTAAGAATACCGAGCATCTCTCGCATTTCAATAATTCACGTGCCTCTGTCATAATCTTTGTTACCAAGCATTCTAAATTGTTTTGCTCCTCAAATATACTTCGGGCCAAGTTTAAAAGTATTTGATTGCGACGATACTCTTGGACGGACATTTCAAATAACTGAGCGTTCTGTATTCCGATACCGCAAAATGTCAAATATCTGCGAAAAATTTCAACGTCATATTCATCGAACTCTTTCGAATCATTTGTCTTGTTAATGATCTGAGCGACACCGATAATATCCCCCTCGTAATTGCTTATTGGCATTGATAGAATCGTGTTAGTTTTATAACCGGTTTTTAAATCAATTTCGCAATTGAAACGTGCGTCCTTGTACGCCTCTTTAATATTAATCATCTCCTTAGTTTGAGCAACCATACCAGCAATTCCAACCCCGAACGGTATAATAATTTCTTCGGAACGAGCTTTTTTAATGGCCTCCGTTAAAGCTAATGAAAAAGAGAAAAAATATTTCGAAATTTTATTAAATTTTACAAAAAGTTATATTTAGTAGAAAGGAACGAAGCTATTATTTACACTCCGCTAGTACGAAATCAATTAACGATAACCGGTTGTGTTGTTTACATTCCTTTTCAATGCCAAGACGCGAACATCCTATTCCGCAGTAAGCGTATCCACACGCAAAGCTATTGCTACAACATATGTAAACGTAATGTACAAACACAACAGAAACGTATGCGAACTAATGTTGATATACCAGTAACTTGATCGAAGCAAATGAACTGACTGGTCCGTTTTAAAATTTAACAAGGGAGAAAGTAAAGAATGGAGTCAGCTCTTCACTGTGCGTATAGCACAGGAGGACAGCCGGAGGAGGAGGGACAGCCTAACACAAATATAAATAAAGTGTTTTCTAATTTCAAGAATAGATTCTATTTTGGATCTGCTGCTATCAGGAATGACGGCGGTGATGTTGGTACTGCTAGTAGTAATGGCGGTCGTGGGGCAATTTTGGCACCTGTCTTCTTCATCAAAGTGAAGTCATTTTGAAATCCCATTTATGAAAATTACTTAGTTCGTATCCATAGAGGATCTCTTTTTAATTATGCTTAGCAAAGCAGGTCAACGTTTTGATTAGTCTACGACTAAATGAAAAAGAAAAAGCTTTAAAGGCAACAAAGACTTAGGTTTATTCCTATTTTTTAATCTATAATTGCTTTGGTGGTCATTGATGTTTGAATTTTTTAATTGCTTTCATTTGTTAGTCGCGTTGTTAGCTTGCGTTTGGATTTTTATTTTCATTTTTATCTTCCAAATTAAATTGAACAAGTTAAAACATCATAGACGAGCGACACTGACCGTTACATACCCTACAACACTTCGTGTAGTGCAGTTATTCGCCGTTTTGATAATAATACACCGAAAAGTACATATTACGTTCACGAAAACACCGCATTTTGGAAGGTTAGATTTTCTCTCCATTTAAAAGTTTGTGATAGCGTCTATTTAGGTCGGAGAATAGACCTGTGTGACTAAATTACCTACCGTTAGTTTTTTTTTCTGAAACACTCCTATGAATTCTTAAGATAACATGAGGTGGGGAAGAAATGGATCCATGTGGCCCATTTTTTCATTTACTTACTACCGTGTGCAAATCTTCATCACGAAAAATTTAGCGTTTCATGACAATCCTTTTATGAGATGGTATCCAAAAAATAGGCCAACGTGGTCCAAATTCGGTAAGGTAGATTTCTTTGTCAATTTACTATTGTGCGGCAATGATGTGAGGCCGTGAAATATTGGAAAATTGATATTTTTGCCACATATAGTGTTAGTTCCCGCAGGAACGGATATATGGAAGCTGGTTAAAGAAACTGTCAAAGTTTTCACACCAACTCGAATGCCTAAATACTAATATAATACTAATATTTGGGGAGTAATCGAAAAAGTTGACCGATTCGATTCATTTTCAATAGGATTCGTCCTTGGGCCAAATATCATCAAAATATCCCAAAAACTGAAGGCTGCAGCTTGGAGACAAGCATACATGGACAGACATTAGACAGATGGACAGATAGGCTTAGATCGATTTGGAAAACGAATCTGTATAATAAAATCAATCGATAGAATAAGAATTGGGTCTACTTTAAGCTCTTCTTCTGGGTGTTACGCATACGTCTGCACTTACGTCTGCATGTACCCCGTACCACAAGTGATGTAGGGTATAAAAATTGCTTGCAAGCATTAAGGCGTTATAGTATTTGATTTAAGATGGCTTATGTTGTTGTTTGTAGTTAGGTTTCGTGGTTTTCTACCTTAGTTGACCTAATCTTTGCGCAACTTCCGCTTAAGCGATTTTTCGAACAATGTGTCTGTCGTTTAAAGTAAAGCGTAGGAGTAATTGTGCTTTTTATGTCTCTTACCAGCGATTAGAATTTGTGCTAAACAGACACGGGTTCATTAATAGGGGAACGTACACATTTCACATTACCTTCGATTCACGTGAAAGCGTTTAAAGCTAAATTGCAAAAATATATAAATATTGGCTACGAATAATACAATGAATGGATTAACGAGCTTCGATTCGCTTAACTTAATTCAAACACAAATGCCACTAATTGCTGGTATTGCAATAATAATTGCATTTTTATCATTTGCTATCAATGCGTACCCTTTGCTCTCCTCATTTCATTATGTGAAACTTACGTGTTTTTTGAGTGACGTCAAAGAGTTTTGCCATCAAATATCGATTGTTGGGCGGTCCTTTGGCCAGAAATAATGAACCACGGTCAGCGTGTGTTAATAAGCCAACGTTAACCAAGATTTTATGACATAACACATCTATATCTAACTCGTTGGCGACATCACGTATTAATTCCATAAATAGTTCGCCCTCATCCAATTCCATTAAGTGGCGACGATTCTCCAAAAGAGCATTGTTCACTGCAATAGGTGATGAATTTGTACGATTTTTCTACGAAAAAAAAAAAGGAAAAGATGAAAATGACAAAGAAAAGGGAAAAAAAGAATATTCCGTTATAAGCAAACAATAATTCAATTTTAATGAATTTTTCATAGACAAGATCTAATAATGTTCGTTTGCTGAGTTGTGCGCATTTCCGTTATTAGCGAAGCCTTAGCCGAGACATTTTTTCTTGTCCTTTTGTGCGTATCTTTTAAATGGAAAAACATGGAAATAAATAAAATTCATAACTTTTTTGTTACTTTTTTGTTGTTTTTTTTTTGCTGCTCTGCACAAGCACATTAAAAGGGTAACGTTTCTATAAACGACGATATCAGGCAAAATGCTAATTTAGTCGTCGAGTCTCTTTCGCGGTTAGCTCTTGAGGCCACCTCTCTCAAGAGCAACTAACTTTCGCAAAAACATGTTAGAACGAATTTTTGTTGCCCATCATGGGAAAAAGTTGCAAAATTAACAACAAAAACGCAACATTTTACATAGCCCCGGTATCTAATTCTTCGTAAGCTCCAAGTCAAAGTGCAGCGCCGCATACATTAATTGTTTGAAAACATTGCGGCTTTCATTCAAAATATTTTTGCTCATAAGCAAGCCTTTAAGGACTCTTTTCAAACTTAAATTGCTTAGGAGTGGACTCGCACGCTAGTTATAGGTCACCGCATATCAATGTAAGGGAAGACGAAAGCAACAGCGCTGTAAAGTAAGCAAAGTAAGAAAATTCTTCGCCTGAGCACTTTACCATAGGACATGCAACATATACCAGGCACCGGCGTATACATATCTACTTGCAGCAGTATACGGGTACGTATACTCAATGGTTATTCGCTTTCATTTTTGCCAACATTATTTAAACAATAACTTTGGTGTTGAGCCAGCTTGTGTCAGCCAGCCAGCCAGCCAGCCAGCCCGTGTACTTGCATGTACGGGAAAATAAACACTTTGGCAAATTAAGTTTAAAATTATTTTTGTGCATGCAATCTTCCAATTTGTTATGGAAAACACTTTAACCAATTAAGTGTTTCGTTCTTTTTTATTTTCGTTGTTTATGCGATTTTTTAATTAATTGCTTTTTTATCTCAGAAGTCAAATAGCAACATTTCTACATATCAAACAAACGTAACGTGGGGATCTACTGCACTTGTCCTTCCCTTTGCAACGTCCAGAGATACCCAATAGCGATTCTAAGTTCACTTAACTACAGGTGCGTTTCCAGAGAAATCATCTGTCAAATATCTATCTATTTTTGATTACTCTTTGTTGAAACGATTGATGGATGAGTTACTGTCGGTGTACTATGTGCCAGAAAATGGGCAACATCAGGTCGAAAACGAAAGTTATTTTTCGTTGGGCATTTGTTGCCTTAAAAATGCTTACTCTTAGTAAAAAATTTCCAAACACTTGATTATAAACCAAACGATGCCAAAAAACCCTTTTGATGACCTTGTGATAACCTTATTTTCGTGCGCTCGATCTTCACCCTATATTGCAATGAAATGTCGTTCATATATATTCAAAGATATACGATAGAACGGACACCTTTTGATTGGAGCTTGTTTAAAGCAAAAAGGAAAACAATCACACAAAGGTGGAATTTACTTTACACTGACTCTTATTGCAAACAAAGTTAGAGAAGTCAAAGTGGCTCAACCATTGTGGTCGTATTTGTTGTAACTGCCTTGCAGTTACTTTCTATTTGCTATCGTTTGCTAACCGAAGATCTGTCTGCTTTAACGTTAATTTCGTTTTAATTTAATTTAGCCTGATTAACAGCGAATTGTTAGCAATCTCGTTTCTTGCGCATTAAAAGTAATGGCTTCAAATACTAACACTTGCTTCCAGTCTACGGCGGCGGGTACATGCAATGCCCCGTGTTGTAAACACGCACGCAACCCGTACGCGTCCCTTGTGAAAGGGCATTACGTGCTTAGAGCGGAAAGTAAAGAAAAAACTTTAGAGTAAACGAAATTCATTCGCTTAACACAAAGCCATTAAATTTTATTCATTTACTAACTGTTAAATAACTTGACCTACAATTTCCTAAGCTATGAGATTTTCGAAAGTATTTAATTAACATTTATAAACTGCATAACGGTTTGTTAAAAAAATCACGACAAATTATTTATGATTTTTGATTTGTTGCATGCGAGAGAAAGACAAAGAGATTTGAGGGGATAAGTGAAACTCCTGAAGGCAACAATATGCACAAACATTATTGTGTTCTACGCGTGTTACTGAAACTGCTTAAAGATAACGAATGCATACAAAGTAGAATTGGGTTTGTTGATACTTTCACGTATACAAATGTAATTAGTCGCGTATGTATCACATAGTGCGATACGCTTGAATGATTCATAAGAATGATCGCAAACTATGGATACAATTCGATTAATGGCTTGAGTGCCGTCGATTTTAGGGGAGAAATTAAAATCATGAGCACAGCATTTGTCAAGCTATTCCGCGCATTGGATTATCTATGCATCGCAAACTTTGCAAATGTTTTCCAAGAAAAATGCCAAGTTGTGGACAATGTCGGAGCTTGGATATCTTTCTCGATCACTTCCCCCAAGTTTACAAACAGTTATTGTTGTTGAATGTCTTATAAAAGTTTCCTGAGACCGTCTGCTTACGTTAAAGGACCCACCGACCGATTAGTGACAAAACTTGTAACTTGTATGCACATACGTACTGCCATGTAGCTACTTGCAATGGAATTTAAAAGACACTTGCTTAATCTCTTTTAAAATTTCCTTAGTTTTTCGCAACATTTACTTTTGTATATGTGTATATGTGTCATACCAATTGATCTCCTCTGCCTGTGCACATACAAGGATTGCGGTCCTTGGATAGAGAGTGTTTTATTTTCAGCAAAGCGCTTCACATGCATACATGCATGTGTTGGTTTAAATTTACATTTAGGTGCAGAGATACATTCATTTAACATTTTTTTGTCTTAACCATAAGAAAACTAATGACTTTTGTAGTTAGTGTCAGATTTTTCACTTCTCGTAAAATGTCTTTTATGCTTTGCTTTTGTTTCTCGCCAACAACAGGCGCCATTTACAATCGTTAAAGGGCAACTGTAATATAAATGTATATAAGTTCGATCCACCTACGCTTTGAAATTGACTGAATATACTTTTGCTTTCGCAGTTTACATTACATCCCTATGCATATCTATCTATACACGTGAACTTGTCAATCATCATAAAGGTAACAAAAGCGTAATTCATTAATTTTTCAATCACTTGTGTTGATAATCGCGCGGGCGATTCCAGCAAGAGCTTAATTCGTTCGCAGTTTTGCAACATATAGCTACAAAATTTATTTAAATATTATTAAAAGGAGCGTTCGATGTATTGTAGATGTATGTGCGTGCAATACACTTCAGGTTCTTCTCTACTTCTCTACAGCCCTTCACTACTCACAATTTGCGTTTAATTTCAAGTTTAAGTTAAATTCTTAACTTAATGACTTACTCAAGAAAACTACGGTCTATGGTGAAGATAGTCAAAACACGACACGGAATGGAATTGAACCTTGAAACATTGACTGTGCACCGATCGAAAGGTCGCTTGTATTATAATTCCGTTGGAGGACTACGTTAGCCATTGGCTGTCCTTACAGCACTATCTGACAAGATATTGTTGGAAAAATTGAAAGACACACGATGAGTCCGTATGGCTTCCAAAACGAGTAAATGCTTCATCAGAACATTTCAATCTCTATGAATGCATTCAAAATGTTAAAAAAGACTGATTTTTTAAACTTATCCATTAGCAACAGTCCTGTTGCCTGTTTCCTGTAGTTACACTGCGCCCTGGTTGGAATTTGCTTTACTTGGTTCATTATTTGTACTCTTTTTGTATGTATCTATATATATATATATATAGATTAGATGTATTGGCAGTTTGCCAATGTTCATTTCAACAAATTAGTATCTGTCTGCCACGAAATTTGTTTTCGTTTTTCCGTTAGCTTCAAAGTCATCAAATTAAAAACAACCTACCTGTACAGGCGAGGAGGCCATCCACTGTTGGAATAGGTCAGAGGTAACGGAGGGTCTTTTCGGTTTTGTTTTATGGCTTTCAATGAATTCTTGCAAGCGCATTAAAGCTTCAGGCGGTGCCCTCTCCGTTAGCCATTTTTCAAATGCTTCAGGTTTCTCCTCAAATAGACGTTGAATTTCGTCAATATCCTTTTGGTTGACTTGTCGTGACGTTGACGGCAAAGGACTGCAACTCCTATCTGGCGTGGATGAGTAATTGCTGCTGCCGCTTGCGGCCGAATGTACCACAGTTTCCGTTGTTACGGTTGTGGTGCTTGTCGGGGAGGCGGACTTACAATAAATGTTGCTGTCATTAGCAGGTGATTGTGAGTGGGAGGAATGGTCTGACATATTGTTTGACTCGTCTCTGATAATTGCAGGTATTGGTATATTGTTCTTTAACAACGAACCATTTGTTAAAGTATTAAGTTCAGTTGGTGGGATTGTAGACGTACATGATGTTAGCGCACATTTCTGTTCATTTTGCATATTTGTTGTGTGAGAGATTTCAGCATTTTTTAGTGCTTTGTTTAGATTGGCCGACGATACATTTGTCATTGTTAATTCCCCACAGTAAAGACAGCGGAAATGTATGTGGCTTACATGGTTATGTCAATCGTAAAAACCGACACTTTACGCTTTATTTAACCTGAGTAGCCTAGCCGTTCCCAAAAGAATATTAAAACGGCAAATGCATTCTTTTCATTGTCGCTGAATCTAATTGACTTTTTCATTGCCTTTAAATAGTTTTGATGTTGTTTGCACTTCTCTACCTTCTCAAAAGCAATAATTACTAAAACGAGTTCGCCGTATCAAAAATTTGACAGGTGTTTCAAATGCAAGTATAACTATTTGCTCCGTATTTATTTTTTTCATTTTCTCCATTTATTCTTATATATATACTTAATGTTTCATTTCTTTTTCTTTTTTTACGGAGTTGCTCTCAGCAACAGCTGCAAGTCGAGTTACACCTGAAATAATAGAGAATCAATAAATAATTACAATCAAAATAAGGATTAAAGGAAGCATTCTTCAGAACCATGGGAGTGCATAAGTATAAGTGTGAAGAAAGAAATTTTCAAATATTATCCATGCAAGCGGATGTATGAGAAACCTTAAATAAGTCAACAGAAAAGTCGCGTATACGTCACGTGGCGCCGTAATGTTGTTGGCTATTTATTAAGAATTCAATGCGCACACACAATATGTCACTATAAAGCCATTTTACAAATAAATCGTTTTAAAATTTTTTATTAATGCACAAATTCATCAAATAAGTATGTGTTAGTGTAATAACGTGCGTGGTTTCAAATTTCTTCTTCTCCGTTTTTTTTGAAAATGATCAGCATTCCCAAGCAAATGCATAATTTTCTCTTTTCTTTATACATTACACTTGTATTCGTCTGTACGGAGGAATACGTTTCAAAAGCTTTATGAGCATCAGAGTTTAAGTTAACTTAGATTCGACTGCCTCTCTGTTATTGGAACACTTCTCGCTCGAAACATTGATTTACAAAAGAAGAATTCAAAGTGAGATAGCAAATCAGACTGTGGGGTAAAGGTAGTGTTCGCTTGCAAGATTATGGCTCTCTTTTTCGAATATGTTTACTAAACGCTTATGTGCATCCGCTGTGATGCTTAAGAGAATACTTTCATCATTATTAAAATATAAAATCGCTGCGTACCATTTCTCATATAAAGAAAAAAACAAAGCCGTAAGTTGTCTGAATTCTCAAACAATTTTCAGATTCTCGAATGACACACGTAAACCTTCTAGAAAGCTTTCTCTTAAAAAAGCTGACATTTGTTTTAGTACAAACAGTTAGTTCTACTTTTCGAAAGACATCTTGCAAAATCGGTTCTAAAATTTGTCGAGGGGGACTCATCAATTAAAAAAAAAGACCATTTGTTTCATAACAAAACATAAAAGTGGGTATCACTCACTCAATCATAAAGAATAAAACAACTACAAAAAAGACGGAGGATTTAATTCGGCAAGTACTCCTCTTTGCATATACGTTCTCTATACGTTGGCTTGCAGTTACATCCCGAAACAAATGCATGCTAGCTATCGATTCTCTTTAATCTGTTACTGATGAAAATAGCGGTGGTATGATGTCTTGGGTGGCATCTTATCAATGTGGATAACCGTAATACCGAGATCAATGTCGCATAACATACTTTCCTTTATTTACATGTAAAGTTTCAACGAGAGCAAGTTAACACTAAACCAACGGCTTATGTTTAATATTTTTCTCAAAAGTTTTCATTAAAGAATCTTCATAGTCTCGTCTCCTTTTGTTCTTCTCATTTGATAATTGGCCTTCTATTAAAGTGTAATTTTAAAGTCTGCCCTTTGAATTGCTCGGAAAATTACCCCTTTTGTTATGCAAATTATCTCCAATAAGCCGGGAAGTGAAGAGCAGAAAAGAAAACGCAAAAAGCTAATAAGAGGACACTTATCCGCAATTTTGTACTTTCTACTTTTTCTTAAAATTACTTCTAGCTTATGACGTCGACACCATTAGCATAGCGGTGACAGTGCAGAATCATGTGCCAGTATTTCAAACTTTGTTAGTCTCCTAGCCAAGCTATTTGCGCTGGCTGCAGAAAAAACCGCATCATTAAATTTATATTATTAACTATATTTATGTTATATTCATAATAGGGGCATTTCAGTCTTATTATTCTGATTGTAATATTATAAGCATACGTTCGCAGGAAAATGTTTCATCAGTGTAAGTAAGGAGCTTTAAACGGTTGTCCATCCTTCTTTTCAGACAGGATTACTCCTGCAAGTCCTAAAGATCTGTAGAAACTTTCATTCAACGTCAAATACAGAAATATCTCTTAAATACTTATCAAGATTAACCAGATATCCGATATGAAACTCGCTTCGCACCTTTGGCTTACGTAATGAGTACGAGGGTATCCGAGGTTAGCCCCAATGCTCTCTTCCTTTTACAATTAACCCGGCCCTACAATAATACTTTTATTTAATTTCTATCTTTAGGACTGCAGACAGGTACTTCTATATTCCAGAACAGCTGATATGTCGTCATTCTCATATGGAATATCAATCATGGAAAGCGAGGAAAAGGAAGGGTAAAAGTAGTTGTAATCGAAGTTGTCGTCGAAAATATCTACAAACGCCGTTAAGGAGAGATGTACAAGAAGTGCTGGCCATCTACTAGCTTGTTGCTAGTCCATGAAAAACGGCTACAAACTGGGAAGGGAACTACTTTGAAATTCTATAAAAAGTTCGAGTATTTCTTTTGGGCGGAGTGAACGCGATAGCTAGCTTTTAAGACACATATGTCTTAAGCTGGATTCAATGAAGGAGTAATTTGCAGCCCTTCTTGCGTCCTAAACTGTATTCAAAACCTTTTTGCGGGCAGTCTTTCCCGAATAACATAAGCTGCTAGATTAGCTTTTCTCTTATTTATTCAACCATTAACAAATTAATAATTCAGTTATAAATCCAACACCCGCCGAGTTTAAGCTTTTAACATGAACTTATCTTAAGCTACAAACATAAAAACCTTAACAACTAACGTTAAAGTAAAAGGATTTTCTCGTTGAAACTTTGGAAAGATAAGTAGAGAAAAAAAGTGTTAGAGAGAATAGAAAAAGTAAATATGAAGACCTACACACAGACAATGTACATAAAACTATATTTATATATGAAAATATCACAAAATCATCGCCTACCGACATTCAAACCGACTCTTTTAAGATCATAACGTACGCAGTCTTGCTTTCATCTAGAGAAACCAATGAATTAAATTAAATTTTTCAGCCATAATAGGGCCTAACTGATGCCAGGCTCAGATGTAGAGAAAGATATATAGAGAAAGTTTTACGGCTCTGAAAACGCCGTTCCAAGCGACTGGTCGATCTGCGGCGATTGTGGTGTTAAAAAAAAACCCTTTTAAATAAAGCAGGCAATCAATCGTTCAAGTCCTGTCCTTGATTTCTCAAATATTTGCATTATCTCTTTTTATTATCCACTTGATTAAAGTACTGGGTGTCGTTCGCTGCTCTATCTTTCATAATTTCTGAGAAATGAGCAAAAGCCCACAAAAACGGAGTTGGTTTCAGTTTACGCTTTACTGTGCGCTGACCAATTTGGTCCACTTGCGTGTATGAACTTTCAATGTTTTTACCACATTTCAGAAAGTCTACGAAGCTTCCTTTCGGGCATTGCAAGCATTACGACAAAATACCTACCTGTACCGTATCCTTCGGCGGTGGGTATAAAAATGAAAAATTTCAGAATGATTCGAATATATTAAATTGTTGTTAAGCACTATTAAAGAGGCAGCCAGCTGTATTTACAAGTCCATTAATTCGTATCGATGTTGGGCAATAAGTGCATACAAGTACGCATGAATCATAAAAATGTGCATAAAATATTGAAATTTAAAGATGTGCAATAAAAATTTCATTATCACTCAACTTATGCCTGAGTAGGGTTGTGTGTGAGTGGCGATGCGAATTATGTAAAAACATTTATGTAAACAGAAAGAAGATAAATAAAAAAAAAATTTCATTAAATTTTATGAGATCGCATTAACAAAATTTAAAAAATGACATCTGTAATAACACTAGAGTCTCTACGATGCCAGCGCTATTATGATTACGACGGAAATGTGGTAAATAAAAATTAATGTACTGGAAAATTATTACCAAGTTAACATATCCTTATTAAACGAAAAGCGGCATTTGAGAACGCTCTCGAACTCAACTCGCGTATATAATTACGCTTGGCGTAAACAATTATATTTCAATAAGTCATAATTAAAGCAAACACCGAAAATCGACAATTAACTGATTGTGCTAAGTAATGTAAGACGTGTAAGGGGCGTATGTTTATATGTGGCAATGAAAGAGGATAATGATAATATGGCTAACGCATTAAATATACGCGATGTTTATGCAATCATTGCACCTCACTATCACTAAAGTATGTTACATATGCAGAAACACATCCTTCGTGCATCACTTCGCACACACAAATTGATTTAAAATTTTTTGCCGGACAAGTTAGTAACGCCTTACTAACGCTTATGTTTTAATCCTTCCTTACATCATCTCACTTTGTTATTTTTTCTATTTCGATAGTATTTTCGTACAGATAAACTCAGTGTTTCGAATTTTCATTGCTCCGTCCGTTTTCGAAATCAATTCCGAAATGAAAAATTTCTTGAATCTCGAAAGCGAACTTGTAATCATTAATAAAGGAACTCTTTAAAGCATACGCACAAGCATTTTAACATATTAACGGAATGTAGCAAGACGCTAAAGCACGTTATCGTATGTTATGGCAAACCTGCGTGCATTCACAATCGCTGGTTGAAGTATATTATAAAAGCATATTAAAGTGAAAGCAGACGATAATGGAGGAATAAGAAAAGTGCACGCGTGTTGGAGCGAATGATGCGTGATGGACACATGACTTGAAACTATTGCACAAAAATTGTAAAATGCCGAACCTTCATATGGCCCTAGAAAATATCTGTCGTAAACTACGGCCTCTTACGTGTCGTAGGGGTGTGACAATATCCTTTCAAATTTACATTACTTACTATATGATTGCATGAGAGTCTTTTTAAACTTGATTTTTGACTATCAAAGCTTAGCGTGTCAGGTTTGCTAATACTACCCTAAACATGGAAGACTGGTAGACAAACGAATGGATCCAAGAATGTTTTAAGCCTTACGGTCAGCAAGAGCAAATACTTGCCGGAATTGTGAAGTAAGGTGCGCGTAGTGCAATCATTACCTCGTGGTGAACATAAACATATTTGCTTTGATTTTATTTTAATATTATTTGGTTACAGAATACATACATGTATGACATAATACATGCATGACTCACGAAGAATGCACTACACCGTTAAATCCATTTAATACAAGTTTAGTTTGGTGTTTTTTGGAATGCTTTTTAATGTTAAAATGTTTCGGTTAA